ATCTAACTTTCTGATTGTTATTCAAACCATGGATATCAAAATTATTCAATGAAAAATTGAAATTTTTACGCACAGTTATTATTTAAGTTACGTTAAATATTGTACGGTTAATAGACCCTCGGTTGGAATTGTCTCCCGGGCCCAATTATTCCGGGCAACAATACCAACAGTACAAAAATGTGTAATATGTATAAGATTAAAAACCTACTTTCTTTATTTATTGTTTACGAAAACAGCACGATTATATTAAAATTAAAACAACGTAATATTAGATGGTAAAAATATAGTAATTTTAAACGTCACTAAATTATCCGTCCACATCAAATTATTTATTTTTCATTGGAGAGTCTACATCAATAGTATTTATGTAATAATTTATAGTAACGTAGTATCCGTACTTGGAATATTTGCATTCACTATATGTACTTATTGAGACATTTGTACAGAATAATATTAAGATAACACATTTCTTAAAAAAAAAAATAATTCATTACTTGGAACAAATTAAAAATTAATTAAAACTAACAGAAAGCTTAAATAATTTGAAATTATCTGCAAAATAAAATAGAAACAACTAATCCTATCACGGTTAGATAACTATTTTGTTTTACGAATTTTAAGAAAAATCTTTGTAATCTAAAGTTCCAAAGGAATGAAAAATTCTCGAAACTAACTCTAGGTTCGCAATGTTTGAAAAGTGAAATTTTCTCCAAACAATAATGTTATACTACAGCTTGAGTAAAGAAAGAAGAACAACACATTTTATGGTCGTTTACTTGAGTACCTACGATTTATTTAAGATTTATTTTTATTTATTTTCTTTTATTAAAAATAAGATGCTCCTAGCTTAGGTAATCAACTTCAACATATACAACAGATACTTATTTATTTTTTTATTATATTAAATTAATGATAATAATAAGGAACAGCTTAGTGGTATTAATTTTAATAGGCTATGCCTCCTTTTTAGTGTTCTCTTTAGTCGAGTAATCTAGAAAACGTTTCCCAATTAGTTCAAAGGATAATACAATAGAGGGGTTTGAGAAGCTAAAGAATTTAAACAATATTTTCCCTAAAATTAATTGTTTTATGTTTTGTTAAAACAGAAACTCTGCGATAGCTGTATAATACATAACACTTCCAACATGTTCGTCAAAATAAAAAGACATTTTTAGACGATATCTCATAAGAAAAAATTAAAAAAAAGCAGAATATAATTTTTTTTTAAACTTTTTTTTTTTATAAAATAATATGGAATTATTTATTACAATAAGCTTTCATGCTGATATTATATAATGACTTGGATATGTACATGAAAAAACAGCCACCCAATTGTGGTATTTTATACTTTGATTAACAGATATGATTTTGTCATAAACAGTATTGATAGAATGTAATTAAAATTACAAAAAAGTAATAATCAATTTTTTTTTAAAGAATCAAACAAAAACAAATACAACTATTTTTTATTTTGAATTATTTATGTAGGAATGTAGTTTAGTATCTAGGTCACATTTGAATATTTTAATTGAGTAACTACAATTGAGAAACTAAAATATCATCAGGTAGGTAATAAAAACAAAACTATAACATGGTTACCCTATTATAATATACCAACTTCCACAGTTTTCTAACTTGAATAATTTTCGATCATTTTCAATCAACTTCAACGAGGATAAAAATATAAATATCGTTAGTTTGTTATGTAGTCTACGAATTATAAAAACTGTGGTAAAATTATTTTAAATGCGGTGAATTTTCCCGATTTCCAGAGCCAACTAGTGCAGACAATTGAGGATACAAATTATAATTTTATAACTTTTTATTGTAACGTTATAAATAAAAATTAGTAATATTTCAATTTCAAATGCGTTTTCGTGTGTTTAAGTTCCGGGACTTGGTTATCATAGTAATTTGAAACTGCCTGACCCGTGGTAAGTACTGTTACGACTCGCAGTAAATAAAACGTTCTCGGGATGTCGTACGTATTAGCTTTGTTACTCTTGTTTCCCCGAATTCTTGGGTATAGTGATATTGTTGTTTCAACATAATACGTGGGTGGTCAAATAATATAATTAAGAGTAGTAGAAAAAAAATATATGTATTTTGTTGTTGTGGAAGGACTCCTTTATTTGCGGTTCGAAGTATATTTTACGATCCATGTTAGATACTACGCATATCATACCAAACCCTACCTGTTCTTGATACATGTGCGGGCGAATATTGTATATTGCGGATATTGCGGGTATAATTTTATAGGTAAACAACAGAAATTATTATCATACCACCCGTTTGAGTGTATATATTTAATATAACGGTTTCGGGTAAGTTAAATCCACAATAATATTATGTTATAGTAGCTTGGTCTCTACAACCACTCCCTCTCACAAATTTCCTCTCGCCCCCTTTTCACTCTGTACGGTTTCGTCTGATACTTCTCTCCTTACATGCCATCCGAACCATTCGACAATACAATATTCAGTAATGTGACCCTGCTGTATAATTATTTTGTCACTGCGGTACCATTTCCCGGATAAACAACGACGCACCGCCGGACAGACCATTTGTCAACGCTTTTAACTTTTCACTCGAATACAATTTTCAACGGATAGCCCCACGTTTGCGACCATATATTATTATATCTAATATTAAAAGGTTGTGCTAGTTATTTACTTTATACGTATACTGTTGCAGCAGAGCCTGATTTAAGCTGTTTGCTATACATGACGAAACGTAAATAAGAATGGAAATAAAAGGACTGGCGAAAAGCACATTCTGAATATAAGACTCTTGAATTTTTAACCATGTGTATTTTATTTTGCCTACATGGTAGTAAAAAATGGTGTCGCATTCAACCATCTTGAGCAGATGTCTATGTTATAGTAATAAATGTGTACAAACATTAAATTTCCTAAAATTTACAGATAAAAAAAGAAAAATTATAATATTTTTTAAGAAACCGATCGATTTTGGCTTATTTTGTAATCTATAAGAACAAAGTTTTTTTTTTAGTCTTTCTTCAAGTTTTTTCGAAAAAATCACGATTCATATATGACATACGACCTAAACACCTAAAATATTAGCTTTTAGGTACAAATTCACGAAAATGAATGACTGAGAATTTTATTATTCGGACTGTTCTGCGTTTGAAGATCGTTTTCATTTATAATCTAACTAAGTTTGTAAAAAACTAATTATTAATATTTCAGATTGGGGTATACATTGACAACCCTCGTTAGTCATTTCTTATATAAAATTTCAAAATAACATACCACAAATATTTTGAGTTACATTAATTGTTTTCGTAGACTGGTAACGTATCTCCTAAATCGTTATGTCATTATTCCTAAAGATTGTTTGTATTACTATATTATTCTATATTAAGTATTTTATAATTTAATAATCAGGTCAGTCAACCTACTTTTATGTAAAAAAAATTATAACTATAACATTTGGACTTAGATTTAATTAATTTAATAAAAAAAAATAAAAATTATTCTTATAATATGTATGTAAAGCTCATTTAAGTATCTAGTTTACATTTCAGTGTTCTTCTATTCGGTTAATATTGCCTTTTTTTAGTAATTTCACACTTATAATCTAAATAGTAAATAAAACTAAGTTTATATAACGATTAAACTATAATAATATATTGCATTCTGATAAATATAATAACATTTCCATCGTATCGTTTTAAATGTTTTTAGTTTTTATAAGTTTTACGCGTTCAGCATTAATATTTTGGAAGATCAGTTTCTGCAGTCACTCGAAATGACGCGATAATTAAATCATCATAATAAACTTATTCCACAACTACTTACACTAACCATAATTGTCTCAAGTAGTCTCATGCAAAACAAATAAATATGCGTACTTGTAAGATGTATGCACACAATCCGAATACAAAAATAAGTTTAACATGCATTTCATCGGGTGAGTTTGATTTGTTTGTTTTTTGTCAATCCAATAGATCTTTAAAGTAAAAACAAATGGGTTTTATTTTATGTCCATTCCAATTACACTATTCTTCATTTAATAAAAAAAAATAAAATGTCTAGGGTAATTTAAAGGGACACCTTGAAACTCAGATTGATTAGAAATACTCGGCGTTATCCACCATCAATTATTAATTTCAATATAATACTTTAAAACTTTTTTTTTTTACGAACAATCAATAAACTTGATTAATAAAATTAACTTAAATTTATACTTAAGCGCTATTATATGGGCTACATTTTCAGTTATTCTGAATAATTATAACTTTAATTTATTATGGTTATTACCGGAGTGTGAAGAATGATATCATTTTATCCAAATTTAGATAGAAAATCGTTATCGCAATTTAATCGACGTAACAACATGCAAGTTCTTATTTTCTAGAGATGTTTAAAAATTATCTAGGAATAAATTAAATATGGTAGTGCATTCTTGAGAAGTTATTGAAAATAAAATTAATTGTATCGATGAAATCATTTAACCTTGATTGGTTGGGGTTTGAAAAACTATATTTACCAACATTTTGCAAATTTGATGTGTATTTTTTATATAACACTCGTTTATTATTGTCGTGGTTGTTGGTTTCCCGAATTAATTTTTCTCTAGCCCTAAAATCCTTAGGACGACTCTGTATTTAAATATTGTGCCACAGTATCGCTGTTGGTAGGTTAATTTGATACCTTGTTTTTTTCTCTCGAGAAAACCTCTATACGTTTAAAGGAGAATATTTACTCAAATATAGTGTGCACCACATAAGCATGAAAAACGTGTCAACATGCGAAATTAATTCATGAATGGCATAATGCGATGCCATGTCTGCATTACCGCGCAGTACAGGTGTTTGAGAAGAGATCATAATATCCCGGTTGTACGTACATTGGCCACAGTGAAATCCGTTGATTACGTAAACATATGTTTTAAACATTATGATTATAAACAGACTTTTTCTTTCGTTGATTTTTTTTTTTTTTCAACAACTTATCATGTTCGCTCGCCAAGTTCTGCGTACGGATTTTTTTAATGTACGTTGTTCAGCAGCGAAATATTACTAACACCAATGTAATACCCACCGATAATCCACCATCATCATGTATCCGGACGACAGTGTTATATGCTGTATATTTCCGCAAAAATGTAACATGTACCAACGAACGCCGATAATTATATTTTGGGAATCCATCTGTTATCTAAACATGACCATAATTACATGTGTAATTGTCTTGGTTGTCTGGAGCATAGTACGCCTGTACGCAAAGGTAAATTTAAAATAAAAATTTTTTCGTGAAAATGTATGTACTGCACTTAAAAGTTTCGAGACCGTGGCTCGATACGCAAATAATTAATTCGTAAACCTTAGAAGTTAAATTTATTCTTAAATGTAATAATGTATTATTATTTTTTTTTTTTCGTTATAAACATTATTGTTTGATCATATTATCCACTTGCACGTTCAATTAAATCCGTAACAATAACAATAATACTTATATCGATTTACGTGCGTACGTCGTCATCTTACGTCACAAAACGAACCGCATGAAGTATACATTGTTTTCGGGTGAGCATAAATGTCCGTCAGTGGGTCGGGCGCACAAAGTTTCGATAACGACGAACCGGTTTGCGTAAAAAAAAAAAAAAAAATTTAACGTCATCGGTACCCGTTTTCCGACCGAGAATCATAATAGTGAGAATAATAAAATAACAGCACCTAGTGGCCTAAACGTTATCCTCGATTAGCTAGACAAGGAGAAGCGTTGCGTTGACGGGATCGGTCGAGCGACGTTTCGTTATTCGCGAGAGAGAAAAAAAAATAAATAAATAACCCGCGTTATTTTACCAAACCGTTTCAGCTCGATGTTTGTAGATCGATTAGTGTCTTAGAAGAGAGCGTGGGCTCGGTCGCGTGCACGGAAACCGCGGCGGCGGCAGGAGAAGAAGACGGCGGCGACGACGACGAAGAGATCTCGGTGTACCGGAGCGAGGTGGAACTGTTGTGCGACAACTTCAACTCGTCCAACTCGGAAGTGACGACCACCGAATCGGCGTGCACGTCCAAGTCGTCCGGTCCGAACGGGACGGCCGAACACGCCGAGACGTGCTGCAACGGTGGGTCGGCGTTCGACGCGTACGTTTCCACCGACGGCAGTTGTTGCATGCGTTCGACGGCGAGTCAGGTCGCAGCGGTCCCGCCCAAGGGTCCGCGCGACGACCACCGTCCGAGCGCCGCGACCACGTCGTCCGAGTCCGAGATGATCGATATCCTGAATCTGGAGGATAAGATCGCCATGAGACCGGGGTGCGACAACGTTCGTACGAACACGATTGACGGGAAAAAAGTACGTAACCCACCCCCTCGCCGTCCTACCGCTACATTTCTGTCCGATCCCTTGTTTTCGGTGGCAAGAAAAAAAAAAAAACGTGTAACCTAACCGTCGCGATAATTAATGCAACGTCGACTTCGCGTGTTCGTTTTTAAAATATTTTTTATCGCGTTCGTCGATTTTTGAGAAATTCATAATCATTGAAAACAACTATTAATCCGGTAAAAATATCTAATAAGTTAACTGAGATCAAGCAACGTTCCACCATAACACCAATAGTTATATATATATATATATATATATCTATATATATTACATTGTATTTTTATGAAAAATGGATTTATCGTGGGATTTTGAGACTGCGGAATATTTTTTTTTTTGTATATACGCACGATTTTTGGGTTGTACAGACGCCACGTAATGCCAACGCCTGAAAAATTATGTGTCATTGCGATGGGAATATTTGAGAGAAACCTCATGGCTGTAGTAAGCCCAAGGCTAGGCGTATTTAATAATCAATATTTAATAATCAATATTCAATATTCAATCTGTATTGAAGTAAGCCCAATGCTCAGCATAATCTAATAATTTGATACAAATTAGTATAAGTACCTATTAATAAATATGTTGTACAAATAATTATATGAATATTATATGTTGCTCATACAATGTTATGTAAAATTATATAAATGTTATATAAATAATGCGATATAAAATAGTATAAGCATTAAAAAAGATGTTAAGCGAAATAAATTCAGGGCAAAGGTGAAAACAACAAGTAGTTTTTCACCTCTTAACATGATAATGCTAAATCATTACATTATCAGTGGAAGGGAATAATATTGGAACTACACCACTTTAACTGATATAAATACAGGTAGAAAATTTGGTATTAATCAGATGTAGATAGGTAGTTCTTATAGACAGTGTTATACTGGCCATTTCCCGTATTAATAAATTATTGCCCGTCGTGGACTTTGTTACAGCCACATTGCCCCGAGTATATAATTCTTAGCCCAGAATAACTTGTTATTTTAATTTTTTGTGTTTTTAACTGTTTGTTAATTTATTGTGATAAATTAATAAAAACAGTAAGTGTATAAGTTTAATATACCAGTGTTTAATTATTCGCCTACCTATCTCTCTCAACCCAACGTCTCAAGATAACATAACATACAACGTGCTACGTCGTTAAATAATTAATGTGGTATCGATCGTAGTGTCCTGCACAACGATCACTACATGGCGTATATAATATTTATTATTAGAATATATATTTAAAAAATTACCACTCGCTGCTGTAAATAATCTTAAATGCACCGTATTCGTGACAAGATTTGTTGATCATTGACATAATTTGAAAGGGAGAACAACTCATGCGTTTGCCATAGTCTAGAGTTTAGCTATTCCAATGTCGGCACATCATCAAAATATAAACACATTCTTTATAATGCCATTGACGTGTTGTAAATTAGAAAAATTAAACGAGTACTATAAAGGTTCTTATGTACAGAGTACAAATCATTATATTTTTGGACTGTTTTGACGTCCCCTTCCTCCCACGTTTATACTCACACACGTCATACATTCCAATAAAATGAGCCGTCGGGTCGGCAATTTAATAAGCGTATACCAACTGCCCTACTCTAAAAAAAATTTAAATAACGCCACTTTTTATAATCTGTTTGCTACTATGATATCATCGTCATCCGTTTGGATGAAAAACGCTAAAACAACAAATTATTCAAATTGCACCACACCTTCTTACCTTTTATTAGGTAATTTATCAACAAAAACAATTATTAAGTTCCTATTCAGCTATGACAAGAACGGTAAATTTTCTTAACGTTACGTGCCAAAAACTACTGGATTTATTTTTTCTTCTTTCTCTGTGCCATTAAATTACAAAAAATATTATAAACACAAATAAATATTTATTTATTTAAATATATTTATTATATCTACTTTTTTAGTACAGAAAATAGAAATTAAATTTATGAAAATAACATTACTTGAGTATTAATTGATTTTAATATTGTTGTACACTTCATGCAAATTCATTTATATTCGGTTTATAATTTGTAGTACAATGGACTAACATATACCATTCATGCGTTGGTCGGTTTCGTAATTCAGACTTGATAAAATTAATTTCCGAAATAAGTGTTTCGTGTAAATTAGTTTATTTAATATTTTAATAAAAATTGTCAAAACAGCCAATTCTTATTTTTAAAGTAGTTCATTATGACCGTACTGTTGATTAGTAATTATTAAACATAATTTAATAAATAATTAGATTTTTTTGCGTTAATTTATAATTGTTTTCGAGTGTAATGGATTTGCCATCCCTGGTTTATGATATCTTCTTGTATTAATCAACCTTTACTTGGAGACCTGATATTACTCGCAAAAATATATAACACAGTCATGACCAAGATATAACGCAAAATACAATACGTAAACTAACATAAATATATTATGCGAATGTTTTAGGAGTATGCGATTGATTTAGTTATAAATTATTATAAATATATAATAATAATTATATGTATAACAATAATAATAATATAATATATAAATTATATTATATTTAGATGAACGATAGTTTATCGTCATTGAAAAATAAACCGTGCAGTTCGAAGCACAAAACTCAAAATGCCAATAACAAATTGAATAATTTAATGATCGGTGAAAGCAGCAAGATTGTTGCTCGCGGAAACCCCAAAGATAAGAACAATTACGATGATTTCGACGGCGACGACGAAGATGAAGAAGACGAAAATGATTGCTGCGTCATCAACATGCGCGATCCGAACTGTTCCAAAAAAGAAAAAATTTGCATTGACAAACACGAAATCGAAATCTGTCTAAAATTCAAAGATCAGATGTATCATCCGACGGTTAAAGCAGACCAATTTCTGGAATTGATAAAAAAAAAATCCTGATAACACCGACTGGTCATAGATACGTGATAAATATTAATCAACGATCATCACGCGAGAAGACGACACATAGTATTATAATAATAATAACGGTGTTACACCTACAATATTATTTTATGAATTGTCTACGGGTCGTAAACACACGTATCATATTGTTTACCGGAGATACGCCGTGAATTTCTTGTGCCGAACGGGCCATTATTACTATGTAACATATCTACAAAGTATTACATATACGTATTTGTTTTACGCGTTATAATATTTTATACTATTTTTTTTTTTTTTTTATCGTTATCCATGTACAATTATGTCTTGAATAAATGTGTTCGATTGTATTAACTGTATTCACTTTTAAAAGACTTTCATCTTCAGGACATGACAAGTTTTTTATGTATTCTAAGGCTGACTGATAACCAGGCTTAGCGTCCTAAAGTAGGATACATCATGGTGCAGAAACAGTTGGTCAGTGAAAATTACCAAAACATTAATGAATGCACAACTTTTCAATTAAGTGTACACTGCATTTACACAAACAGCATTGGTTCGAATACGGGAGAACCAAAGGGTGCTTGACACCCCCAGTTTATTTTAAGGTAAGAATATTGTTAAAAAATATGTTTACACTCGGGCGCCTTCCACTTCAATTTAACTTGCGTTTCAACATTCAATTCTGTTTTCATCTAACGCATGCCTTTATTGAATGCAATAGATGCATGCCTTTTTCTATTCACATAAGCGATGTGACAAATAGTGCCGCATTTAGATACAAATTGCACAGGGGTCAATATTTTACTGCCCCCTCTCTAATAAAAAAAAAAAAAATCAATAAAGAATAACACTAAATTAAAATATAACTTATATTTATATACTCAGTTGCAGTCACAATCTGACAGATCACAATTTTAAATTTTAAATCGTGTCCGCTGTTCAACAACCAAACAAGGCCATTATATTTTACGCAGAATCAATCAAGGATATCAAATGAATAATTTTATGGTCATTAAATTGTATTTCTCCTCATTATTTAAATACTGTTTTTGCAATATAACTAGCCATTAGGCACGGAAATTAAAAACAAATTTTGATGTACCTCTAAAATTTTGGCGCTCGGGGCTGCAATTTTATGCAAGTATAAAATGGAACAATAGGTGACACGGTCGTGTTCCACGAATATCGTGATCTCACCCGTTACACTCCTTTGCCTTGGTGTCACCATTCGTTCGATTATCAATCGGGACGCCCGATAGATAATCGAACCAGTTTTCGGAGTCGGCGATGAGCCCCGAAGCGTTCGCGGACGGTGTGACGACCGTCGAGAACGACGGCGGCGCTTGTCTGCATTCTGCCGTCTTCGTGGTCCTTTACATTTTTACTTGTGGTTTACTTTTGTCTTTTTGATATTTGTTTCTTTTATATTTTTTGTTACAATAATTTTATTGCCTTTTCTTTTATTTTTACAAAATAATAATTCGTGCTTATTATTATTAACATTATTAAGCAAAGTTTATTTTTTTGTATTGATTATTATTATTTCTTTTCCTATTAATATATATATATTTCATTTTTTTTAATCTTTCTTTTCTTTTTCTTTCTTTTAATTATTAATTTGTGGTGTGCATCGTGACATTTGGCTCCTCGAGGGAACAACCAGTCAAGTACGTGTACAGCGAAATCGTAAGTACTTTTTATTTTGTGACACATAAAATAGTTACTTACGTAAGATTTTGCTAAATCGAAAAGTACTAATTTAGCTCGCTAGTTAGGAAAATCCCCGATAAGTGCGAGTCGGCCGACGACGAGTGTCATTAACGACGGAAATAGAGAATAAATTTGCCTTAATCGGGATTTGCGAGTCTTCGGTTGTTACCGAACGATATCACATCCAATTAACTCATTTTCACGGCACGTGTACGCCGTACTCGCCGTTCCCGCTCTCGCACGCGTAGACATTCGACCGGTCGTCACCAGTCGTCTCTACAATTCGTGTGCACGCGATAAGCATCACGCTTCGAATCGCGTCCGCCGTTGTTATCGGGATTCGGTTATCGTACTTGAAATTAATATCGTTCGCTCGTGTGATAGCATCGTTGTTGATTGTGGTAAATTATCAACAATAACAAAAACACGATGTCGAGTGTTTCGAAAACTATTTTTCAAATGTCCATCGCGGAATTGAAATCGGAGTGCGAGTCACGTGATATTTCTAGTGCGGGTACAAAGAATGATTTAATCATTAGGCTCGAACAGCGCATTCAAAACGATGGGTATGACCCGCACACACTTTTGTTGCCCGTTTCGACCACGTTCCCGCGTAATACACCGTGTTCCCTACCTAGGGCCTTCGAACACCGATCGCAGTGTTCCGACAATTCGGTAAATGGTTCTGGGGACGGATATATAGACGATGAGGTGCGGAATATTTGTTTGACAGCCCGCCAGAGTGACAGACTGGCGGGCGCCGATGGATTTTGCGGATCGAATAACAGTTCGCGGGCTTCTTCGCGGCTATCGAACCGTAACTCTCCGCCGGTTAATCAACACTATTCCGACACGGCACAGCAATTGGTTGGCTTAGGCCACCAAATTTCGAACAGCGGTGCTCAAACTACGGCGAGAAGTAGAACTTTTCAGTATCGAAAATCGCCTTGAGTCAATCGAAATCGCGCTTGTCGACATTAGAAATTCTATAAGGAATCTCAACACTCGGCAAAACGCGATCGAAAACCGATTAACAAGTTTCGGCTGCTGTGGGGCAGTTGGGCACTCCCAACGCACACCCGACCGTAATTCACCGGTAGGTTTAATAGACTTAAATAATCGTCTCGCGGTAATCGAACGCGATATACGGGAAACAGCTACGGCGCCGCACAGCCACGGCCGTCGGTGACGTTCGCCGACTCCCATATACGCTCGCATTCGACTATTTCATCTCCGATACGCGAAAGGACATCATGTGCACACACATATAATGACGTACCGAATGTTAACGTGAATGTTGGTTTAGATCATAGGGACGACCCGAATTATTTGAATACTGAGCGCGCGAGTAGCACGCGCGCGGGGCCAGCGCCCCAGTATAATAATAGACGTTCCCCTCAACAATGCGAATTACATAATTCGGGACGCCCGACAGATAATCGAACCAGTTTTCGGACGGTGTGACGACCGTCGAGAACGACGGCGGCGCTTGTCTGCTTTCTGCCGCCTTCGTGGCCTTTTACATTTTTACTTGTGGTTTACTTTTGTCTTTTTCACATTTGTTTCTTTTATATTTTTTGTTACAATAATTTTATTGCCTTTTCTTTTATTATTATTATTATTTTTACAAAATAATAATTCGTGCTTATTATTATTAACATTATTAAGCAAAGTTTATTTTTTTGTATTGATTATTATTATTTCTTTTCCTATTAATATATATATATTTCATTTTTTTTAATCTTTCTTTTCTTTTTCTTTCTTTTAATTATTAATTTGTGGTGTGCATCGTGACATAGGTATGTAATCAAGAACATAAGTATATATATATATATATATATATATATATATATATATATATATATATTGTACTTAAATAGTGTTTAATGCTCCTTAGTACCCCCCTCCTCATAAAATTTAATCAAATACGCCACTGATGGACGTACAATGCACATAATATGTAAACGTATTATGCACGTTATACGTGTACGCATGCTATGAGAGTATTAGGTGTTTGGTTGTCATATTACCCATTTATAACGCATGTGATATTGTGATGACTAGTGCTCGGAACTTAATGCACTTAAAAAGTACTAAATATGCATGCACTTATGCGCTTAAAAAAGTAAAAAATATGCTTTAAAAATATGCACTTAATTTTTTTTTTAACGCAAACATTTTCATAAATAAAGATATTTTACTAAGTATACTCGTACATAACAACAGTACAAATTATACTAGTATATTATACTAAGCTAAACATAATTTCTAGGTATAAATATATAAGATAAAATAAATAGCTTGAAATTTGAAATATTCTTTCAGTGTTACCATTAAATTATATATACATCTGTAAAGAATAAATACAAGTTTGAAAAAACGTTTAGAACCCAATTCACAAGTAAGAAATGCATTTAGTTTTTATCTACAAAACTTTTACATTGAACCACTAAACATTTTTTAGTGTTTTCAAAATTTAAGAGATCGCCGGTTATCCGATTAATGCAATCAACGATAATCATTAAATTGTTATGATTAAATATAAATAAAACTGGATATTTTGTGTCAACCTGGTATTTGAGAATCATGATAAGTACAATATCTAATGAAAATTCTCAAAATAAATATTTTATTATTGATAACATTTATTAATGTTATTATCAATAATCATCAAATATGCTCTAAAAAATGGCAAAATTAAGAAATATGCGCTAAAAATTGCTAAACGACTAAATATGCAAGAATATGCACTATAAAGTTTCAATAAGTTTTTCGTAATGTCATGAAAATAATTTCAAGCTTACTTAGCTATAAATTAAATAGCCCAATAAAAACATGCCAATGCAACATCTTCCTAGACTTAGTGATGATAATCAAGCTTATATTTAGTATTTGTTGTTAGAATATTATTTAGGAATTTGTTTGTGTTTACCGTCTACCGGTTTGACCGCTTATTGATAAATAATAATTATGTTTTTTAATACTAGTACTTTTACAATGAATGTTAACACTATTTAGTTATAATATGGAAAATTGGTAACCGTCACGTCAACCTAACGTAAGATGGTCGATATTCTTTGCAGGTTTTTGTAATTTGGTCGTATAGTATTCAGTAAACATAATTATTAGCTGTCATGTCACTGGTGACATGCTGCGGTCTATATTATTAGTTGTTTATATTTTATTTTTGTACTCTGTACGTACATATTACCTACCTTATAAAGTAGTAAATATTTTTAGCTTATTTAAATAAAATAAAGCTTTTAATGAAAGAATATAATAATGAAAATAATGAACGATTTGGATTGTATTCCTTCATCATCGAAGAATTTAAAAGTACAAATTGATGATAGTTGTTATATTATAATAAAAAGTACTATATAGACATAGGTATATAAGTGTACGAAACAAATTTTTGGTACACATTCGACTTGAAAATGCTTTTGAATTTAAAATAATTTTAAATGATTGCATAAAAATTATATGCATTTT